GGGCCGTGGCTGGCCTTTCCTTGATGGGGCGGCCTTTTCTCACAGCTGGCCTGACCTCGAGGCCTCTCTTGGCGTGGCTTTAGCCATGGAAAAAGTGGGTGCCTGTTGCTGTGTGCTTGGGGGCCTCATGCCCCTTGTGACCGGCGTTCACCCCCCTTTCTGTCTCCTCCCCAGGCTGGTGACACCTGCCTGTCAGCCATGGCCCTGATCGAAGGCGTAGGGGACGAAGTGACTGCCCTCTTTGCAATCCTGCTGGTGCTCCTGGTGCTGGTGCTTGCCTGGTTCTCAACCCGCACCGTGGAACGGGGAGACTCCCCCTTCGCTGACGCCTCCACCCCGGGCACTGGCCAGCTGCAGGAGGAGGGCCCGCAGGAGAACCGGGCCGGCGTGCCGGCCTCTGGACTGCAGCAGGCCAGAGGAGGAGGAGGACCACCGGCCGCGGGGGCCATCCCCGATGGGCCCGCCAGTGTGTCTGGGAGCCTGCTGCGCCACAGGACTACCCCCAGCCCCCCGCAGCCCCCCTCACTGCCCGCAGCAGGCACGGGCACAGGCACGGAGCCCCCTCCAGCAGACGACAGCATCGTCTTGCGGCTGAAGTTCCTAAATGACACGGAGCGGCTGGCCCGGGTCCATCCCGAGGACACGGTGGGGACCTTGAAGAGGTGAGCGCACGGAGCCTTTCTGAGCCTGGAGAGAGAGTCACTGCAGCAGCGGCTGCTCCTCATGCCAGGCAGGCAGCTGCGGGGGTCTTTCAGCTTTCTCAGGGTCTTTTGCATGCTTCGAGGGGCTGGCATAGCCCTGTCTCCCACCGAGCTCAACCTGCGCCCCCACGCCTTGAGCAGTGGCACTCCGTTGCTGTCCCTCTGCTCTTTCGGAATGTGGCAGTGGAAAGGCATGGAAGGAACCCTGAGCTGCCTCAGACCGGGGTCCCCTGCGCGAGCGTCCTGCTCCTGCAGCAGCCGGCCAGGGCCCGGGGGGAGGCAGGCGCAGTGGCACCTCTTGCATGCCCTCCCGCCTCCCGGTCTGCTGCCTGCGGCACTGCAGGTATGCTCAGTCCATGCACGCAGAGGCCGCCGGAAGCCCCCGTGGGTTTGCCAGATCCCCCTTGTCGCCATCCACTCTGGATGCCGGTGCTTTGCCTTGTGGTGGAGAAATCCATAGGCGAAGCAGGTGTTATGTGCAGATGCTGGTCTTTTTCTGAAGGCCCTGCTGGACCCCAGTGAATGCGAGAAGAAAAAGTTTCTGCCCCCTGTATATAACTTCTGACACGGCTGTTCCTCCAGCAGGGCAGCTCACCCCGTGGGCCTGCGCTTCCCCTTGTGCGGTCTCCTGCCAGCGAGTCTTAGAACAACGGTTGCATTTGTCGTTGCATCAGTATCCCAGCCCAGTTCCTCCAAAGAGCCCGAAGTGCCACACGCGGTCCTTCCACTTGAGCCTTGCAGCAGCTCAGGGTTAGGTTAGGCTGAAGGTCACCCGGAGCCCTTTTGGCCCAAGTGGGGACTAGATCCCAGCTCTCCGAAGCGCCGGTCCAGCGCGCCAGACACAGCACTGGCTCCATGACGCCGGCAGAAAGAACGACCACCGGAGGGGCACCGGAGGGCTGCAGCAGGTGGTGCTGAGCGCCACTCCCACTGCCAGAGCGCGCTGCTGGGGGCGGGGGCAGCACACAGGTGTGCTGGCCGGTCCTTCCACACACTGCAGGGGGGAGGGTGGGCACGGCTTTGTCACCGGGGGACCCTCTCGCTGCCCATGAGCCGGGGAGCTGCACCGTGGTGCTGCGGCCCCCGAGGGGACGGGCGGAGCGGCCTGCGGTGTAGCACCAGCGTGCGGCTTTGGGGCTGCCCTGCTCCTGGGCAGGGGGCTGGAGCGGGGCTGCAAGACCGCTGGGGATGGGGGCCCTGGGGGCCCGGGCCACGTGGACTTGACCCCGGGCAGCAGAACGCCTCGCGGGGCCCCGAGACTCACGCCGCGGTGTTGCCTCCCCCTTCCCAGGACCTACTTCCCCGGCCAGGAGCAGCTCGTGCGCCTCATCTACCAGGGACAGCTGCTTCGGGACGATTCGCAGACGCTGGCCGCCCTTCACCTCGCCCACCACAGCGTGGTGCACTGCCACATCTCTCCGCACAGGCCGCCCGCGGCGCCCGCGGGCGCGCACGCCAATGCCGCCAGCACGGACGTGGCGCACGCGGCCCTCAACATCGGCAGCCTGATGGTGCCGCTCCTCCTGCTGCTGCTGGGCGCCCTCTGGTACTTCCAGCTGCAGTACCGCCACATTTTCACCGCCACGGCCACCGCCTGCCTGGCCGGCCTCACGCTCGTCTTCAGCTTCGTGGCCTTTGCCGTGTACCGCAGATAGCGCCTCCTCTGGCACCGCTGGGCTGGGGGCTGCCGTGGCAGCTGGTGCCCCAAGGCATGGACTTGCACGGCCCGCAAAGGGGGGGGCGGCGCCCAGCTTTGCTGGGAGTGGGGCTGAAGGGCGCCCCTGCAGCGGGCCACTGCCACCCCGGTGCCGGAATCCCCCACTGCCACTCCGAGCGTGGGCACCTGTTGGCCGAACAGGGACCCTCTGCCGTGGGCTGCTGAGCAAGAGCTGCCTGCAGCACCTGTCCCCCCCCCCCGCCGTTCCCCGGCGAATGTGGCCCACTCCCCTGTGCCTCAGCCAAGGTCCCTCCGCCAGCGAAGTGGCGAGGGGGCCACGGCTACCCTGCTCTGCAGCTCAAGTCCAGTCTCAGTGGCCGGGGGGGGGTCTTTAAGGGTACCAACCAGGAGCACCTGCAGTCTGGGGGTGGGGGGGCAGTTCCCGATGCCTGATGTGCTTATTTTAAAATTAAAGCGAAACTGTGAAGGAGGTGAAGTGGTCTTTGTGGTGTGTGGCAGGGAGGGAGGGAGGGAGGGGGTGCCTGAAGCCCGGGTTGTGGGCCTGCCGCATGCGTGGGGGGCGGGGGCGGGGGCGAGGGGAAGGGCAGCCTGGCCGAGGAAGCCCACGCCTCGCCTCTTCCTCCACGGTGGGGTTGAGAGACGGCCCTTTAGGCAGCGTGGCTTTTTGAAGGAGCGGCAGCAGGTGGGCACCTCTGCAGGGGCCGGAGGGGCGCGAGCAGCATGCTTGGTATGAACACGGCTGGAAACGCTCGCAAGGCAAAGAACAGCGGGGCAGCCCAGCCTGAGCACCTGTGGGCACCCCAGAGTGGCCCTGGCTCGGCCCCCTTCCCCGCTCCCCCCACAGGGCGCTGCGGCCTGTGGGCAGCAAGGGGCATCCCTTCCAGAGGGCCCCATCTGGTGTGGTGCCCAGCCATGTGCCCTCAGCCCCTCCGCGGCTGGGCCTGGCTGCCCCCAGTGAGGAGGGCAGAGTGGGGGGCAAGCCTTTTGCTCCCTGCGGGAAAGCAGGCCAGGGGTGCCAGGAGCCGGCCGGCCACCCTGCCCCCCGGGCCAGCGGCCTCATCCTGGCACGAGACCCTTGCGGCGGGGCAGAGCCTCACGGCCCTCCAGCGCCTCTTCCCAGCTGCAGTGGCACCGGGGCCACGCCACCCCTCGGCGGTGGCCTGCCTGGTGGGGGCCGCCAGCCTCCCGGACTCGTGTGAGGGAGGGAAGCGCAGGGCCGAGCAGCTGAAAGGAGGGCGGAGAACCCCTTGAAGTAAGTGGGTTTATTGTCAGATTCATTAGCACCAGCTCCCCGCAGGCGGGCTGCGTCCCCATCGCCCACCTGCCCGCCCGGCCTTCCCCGCAGCCCCGGCCCTGGGTCAGCCGCCTCCAGCCAGGCTGGTGCTGCCGGGCGGGCCCAGCGTGGCCGTCACTCCTCCCCGGCCTCCGGCCAAGCTCTGGCTCGAGGCCGCCACTACTGCCCAGGGCGGGCGAGACGATGTGCTGGGGTGGCGGGCCCGGCCCGGCCCTGCGCACACCCCCACCCACGTGATGAAGCGTCCCGTGGAGGCATTAAGCGAGTCCGTTAAATAAGGCCTCGGTGTCGGGCAAGCAGCTGCTGGTCGGTGCCGCGGCAGGGTGAGGCGGTGGAGGCGCTGGCCTCGGCGGCGTGGCACGGGTCTGCCCCCGGCGTGTGGATGGAGTGGGGAGGGGGCTTCCCCTGTGGCTGCCCACAGCAGGGGAAGGGCTGGCGCACGGCCGGCTTCTTGCGGGCGTCAAAGGCACTGGGTGCAAGGCGGGGCTGCGTGGGCCCAGCACAGGCGGCAGCGACGGCCTCCCCAGGCCAGCCCCTCCGGGGCCGCGGCACCTCACACCGGCATGGGCATCTCGTTGTACTCGTCCACCCCTTCCCGCTCGTCCAGGATGGGCTCGGCCTCGGCTGCATCCAGCTGGAGAACAAAGGGTGCACTCAGCGGCAAAGCCCCTGCCCCAGGCGCCCCCCCACCCCCGGCCTTCCAGGCCACTTACGCATTTCATCTCTCGCTCCGTAAAGATGCGGCTGAGCAGGCACATGCGGAGCGGCACGGTGAGGATGAGGACGAAGGGGAAGGCCAGCGAGGCCACGGTCGACATGACGGCCCACAGCACGGCCAGGCAGCCCAGCTGCAGCAGCGTGAAGAGGTGCATGCGGACCGTGCGCACCTGTGGGCACCGGGACGCGTCAGCACCTGCCCTCTGCCGGGCGCCCGCCGCGGGGGAGCTCCCGCCGCGGGGGAGCTCCCTCCCCGCAGAAGCGGGCCGCCACGGCAGCGGCTCGGGGCTGGGGCAGACAGCCCACCCTGCCCGGCCCCGCTGGACGTGGCGCGGTCACTCCCACGCACCCCCCAGCCAGGCAGCAGCCCTGCCGCTCCTCGCCCGGGGCACCCACTGGCTGGCCCGGGGGCTGGGGCGGGCCAGAGGGCCGGCCTCCCTCCAGAACGGCCCAGCGGCAGGCAGGCAGGCAGGGGGCCCTCCCACCCCAGAAGGTGTTGCACTGAGAAGCAGCTCGGCTCCTCTGCGTGCCGTCGCCAAAGGCCCGCCCGGCCCCGCCGGCGCTCATGGTGGGCAGCACGGCCCCCGGCCGCAGCCCTGACCTTCTTGACGTAGGGCACGTCGGGGTGGTGCTTGGGGGGCATCAGCAGCAGGTGGAGGCGCTCGTAGAACTGGATCCCGTTCAGCGAGGTGACGCCCATGTAGAGGAAGATCCCGAACAGGACCGCCAGCGGGATCTTGCGCAGAAGGTCACCGATCACGATGGACAGGCCTGGGCAGGCGGGCGGAAGCACCGGCTGAGAGCTGCCCCTGGGCAGGGGCCAAGGGGCTGCGGCCCCATGGCCCTGCCCTTGGGCTTCTCCGAGGCTGGGCCCACAAGGCGCTGGGGACTGGTGGGGCTGGCGGCCCCAGAGCCGACCGGGCAGCCCACCGTTGCCACGAGCAGCCGGCTGGACGGGAGCTGTCCTCATAACCTCTGGGGCGAGGGGGGCAGGGCAAGGAACCCCCCACACTGCCGCCCCGGCTTGGGGAGGGGAGGGGAGGGGGCGCTCTGGGGCTGCGTCGCCGGGACTCACCCACAAGGAGGGCCACCAGGAGCCCCGTGACCCGCTGCTCCTTCACCTCCTGGATCTTGGGCTTGTCCCCGGGCGCCACGGCCTTGCTCATGACCGTGAGGGCGTTGGCGTGGGTGACGGAGCGCACCGTGGCGGCCGCCAGCCAGGGCAGCCCGAAGAGGGCGCAGAAGCCCCCCATGGCCACCACCAGCAGCAGGTCCAGGTGGAAGCCGGAGCCCTTCCGCAGCTTCCGCTCCTTCTTGCTGATTATCAGCCTGCCGGGGGGGGGGGGGACGGACCCCGTCAGGCACCGGCCCCTGAGCCCCCGGGCCTCCCCTGGGGGGCTGCCCCTGGTCTGGATGGAGGCCGCTTGCCCTCCACCAGCGAACTTGGCCCCCAGCCCCTGCTCCCCCGCCCGAGCCACTCACGTGGTGATCTGGGTCTCCATGAAGATGAGGATGAAGACGAGGAGGGCGGGCAGCCCGCTGGCCACCATCATCCAGACGGGGAAGCTTTGCCCGACCCCCAGCGGATTGATCACCCAGCCCCGCTTCTGGGGGTCTGTGACAGAGAAGCCGTGGGGCACTGAGAGCTTCTGCAGGGGGATGGGGGAACGTGAATGGGGGAGAGCCATGGGCCCCCATCCGCCCACCCACCCGCCCACCCACCCAAAGCCTGGTGGCCAGACCCGGCCCACTCGCAAAGGGCCCCTTCCGGGTCCTGCTGGGGGGGCGCTGCTGCGGGCGGGGTCCTTCTGCAGGGCCCTCCAGGGCAGAGGGAAGTGGGGGGCAGGGGCATGCCCCAGCCACCGCCTCACTGGCGGGGCGGCCCAGTGTGAAGGGCGCAGCGGGGGTTCCCCAGACACGATCGGGGGGGCAGCCGGCTTGCGCTGAAGAGCGGCCCCCTCCCTCCTGCCCCCCCCCCACAACCCTCGGGAATTTCGGGGCAGGAGCTTGGATGGGCAGCCTCTTCCGACGCCGCTGCCTACCTGCGTGTAGGTGTCCTGGATGCTGTAGTCCACCAGCACCATGAGCAGGATGGCGATGGGCACGCCGAAGTCCCCAATCACGCGCCGAACCTGCCCAGAGAGACCTGCTCAGCCACTCCAGCGCCCGCCGTGGTCCCCGGAGCCCCTCGCTGGCCAGCCGGCGCAGCCACCGTGCCTGCCGGCACGCGCGTGGGCCCTCGGGCAGGGCAGGCCTCTCGGCTCCTGCGGCGGAACCCCCCCGGGCCGGGCGGGGAGCTCCCGTGGCCGAGGCCACGCTCCCCCCGCCGGCCACCCGTCGGGCCACGCACCCGGCCAGGGAAGAAGCGGCTGTTCTTGAACTTGCGCAGGAAGAAGGCGATGAAGAAGGTGCCAGCCATGAGCACCAGCGAGAGCAGCGCCGTGTTGGGCTGGCCGGTCACTTTGGGGGGCGCCTGCTGGGTCGTCCCATTCTCTGCGAGCGCCAGGCCGCCCCCCGCCAGGCCGGTGCCGGCCTCCGTGCCATTCGTGTTCCCGCAGCCATGGAGGGGGTGCTCCTGGAAGATCTGTCGTGGAGAAGCAGCCGGGGGTTTCGCCTTCGCCCTCGCAAGGAAGCCCCGCCGGGACGCGGAACCCGGGCCAGCGCCCCTCCGGCACACGGGAGACGGGCAAAGCACCCCCGGCCCCGCTCCAGCCGCGGCCTGCGTCCGCTCCCCGCGAAGCCCTGGGGCCCGCCCTCACCTTGATCAACTTGTAGAAGGTCTCATAGATGAAGATGAGGGAGATGAGGAAGGCAAAGATCTCCTGGGTGAAGCGCGAGACGAAGCGCACCAGGAAGCTGCCCTCGAAGGCCACTATGACCAGCACGATCAGGATGAGCCAGAAGCCGATCCAGACGCGACCCACCAGGTACTCCAGGCCTTGCGACGAGCAGAACTGGTGCGGGGGGGGGGCGGCTGAGTGGCCACAGCCGTGTCCTCCACGCCCCCCCCACCAGCTCCGGGCCGGAGGGCAGCCCTGAGTGGACTGCGAGCCCCCACCCGCCGCAGGGCGCTGGAGCCGCAGGGCTCCGGGGACAGGTGGGTGGGGAGCTCGGCACTAACCGAGAAAAAGGCCTCCTCAAAAACGAGGAGGGGTCCCGAGAAGCCAATGACGAGGAGCGGCTGGGCCCCCAGCAGGCAGAAGAGGATGCCCTGCACGGAGGTGGAGATGATCAGCTCGGAGACCCCGATCAGGCCCTGGGTCTTCTCTCCTGGAACGGGGCCCGCACACAGTCAGCCCCCGGCCTTCCTGCCCTGCCGCCCCAAGGCAGCAGCAGTGCCTGCTCGCCCAGACCTGCGTCCCTGCCTCCCCGCCTGCCTCACTCACCCAGGAGTCCCCCAAAGGTAATGGCTGGGGACAGAGCAGCAAAGTAGATGAAGATGACGGCGGCCAGGCACTGCGGGTCCAGGGCATCGCGGAAGTCGCTGAGGTACTGGGGGTAGCGCCGGCGGACGTCCCGGATCAGCCCTCCGAAAGGGCGCCCCGTGCGCTCGAGTGGGTCAGCCTCCTCTTCCTCCTCAGCCACCTTCAGCTTCAGCAGTGCTGGGCAGACACACCGGAAGAAGTGCTCGGGGGGTACTCTGGGGCCCCCATGCCACCCCGCCTGCCCCACCCGGGAAGCTCCCTGCCAAACCCGCCCCGGGCCCGGTGTTGGCTGGCAAAGCCTCTCCGTCCCCAGGTGGCTCTCGCAAGCTGCGCTCCGGCCGAGAGATCAGACCCCGGAGGGGCGCCGGAGCCCACCGGGGCTCCGAAGGGGCAGGCCGCCCAACTCCAGCAGCCACGCCCCCCGCCTGGGATGGAGGGCGAGGGGCAGCAGAGGCCGGCACCGCCCTGGGGGAGGAGCGCCTCCGCCGGGGGGGCAGCGCTGTGCCGGGCCGGCGGCACCACCCCTTGCCCCGGCGCCCGAGCCCCCGCCCAGCTACCTTTCTCCTCGGGGGACTTGGGCTCCTCGGCGGCCCCCAGCAGCAGCAGCCGCCGCTCCTGCTCCTCGCGGCGCCGCAGCATCTCGCGCTGGAAGTGCGCCACGCTGCGCAGCAGCTCCTCGCCCTGCACCTCCGAGGGCGGCAGCACCACGCTGCAGTCCAGGAACTCGTTGATGGCCTGCAGCAGGTCGCGCCGGTCGTCGGCCAGGTAGGCCGCCTCGTGGAATTGCTGAGGGCGGCAGGAGAGGGCAGTGGGTGCGGGCCCCTCCCATGGGCCCCGGGGCCCTGCGTCGCGACGCCGCGGGAGCCCGCGGGGGGGGGGGACGGCGGCCCCACCTTGTCGGACATGAGGGTGGAGATGGAGCGCCCGATCTCGTGGTAGTCCATGTTGGCGCTGCTGGGGCCCAGCAGCACGAAGAGGAAGCGGACCGGGACGGGCACCTCCAGCACGGCCTCCAGCTGCGCCGCCTCCTGCAGCCGCACGAACGCCATGGTAGGCTGGTCCAGGAAGTCCACGGAGCCTGCGGGCAGGCGGAGCGCTCAGCCACGGGTCCAGCCGCGCCCCGGCCCCCGCACGCGAGCGCCCCGGCCCGGCCCGGCCCCTTCCTACCCACGAGCACCACGGTGGCCTCCGCGTTGTCCGGGATCTTCTCCAGCAGCTTCAACTCGTGCTTGGACTTGGACCGTGTGATGCCGCCCGGGAGCGCAGGGGGCAGGGCTTCCTTCTGCGGCGAGAGGCGCGTGTGTGAGAGGGAGGCCGGCCGGCCGGGGGGACGCCGGGCAGCTGGAGGCCCTCGCCTCCCCTGCCACCCTCTGCCCCGCCAAGCAGGGCGCCTGTAATGCCAGCCTGTGAACCTGCGCAGAGCATATTGCCAGGGCACAGGAAGGTCCTGCTCGGGGCCCTCTACCTGCAGCCGCTCTGCCCCGTGCCCCCTTTGCTGCGGGGGGCCGTTTCTCGTGATGCCTGCAGACCAGGAGGGGGCTGACCGCCACATGCCAGTCCTCTGCCTTCTGCAGGGGGTCACGGGGAGGTCCTTCCCCCACAGCCTGTGCATTTCCAAGCCCACGTCCGGCTGCTGGCTTCGACCTTGCCCGGCTTGGGATGGCCACGTCCAGTGGAGGAGGGACCCCTTGGCATGCTCCCACCTTTGCACTGTGCCCCTCGCGTGTCTCCACAGGGAAGCGTTGAAGGACGGCGTCAGGACAGACTTACGTCTTGGTGGAGGACCCCCACTGCGCAATGCACCCCAGTGAGACCCACCTGGTGCCAACATTGTCCTCTCTTCAGTGCCAGAGTAAAACATCCCTCTAACTCCGACCGGATCAGGCATTCCACATCAGAAGGGATTGTGGAAGAGCGGAGCTGGAAGGGGCTGGAGACCATTGGGCCCAGCCCCCTGCTCAGGGCAAAGCCCAGGTTAAGCGGCCCTCTCAGAGGGCTGTCCAGCTGCGCCCGGCAAGCCCTCCTCCGGGAGAGCCCGCAGTCTCCCCGGTCGCTGGCTCCCTGCCGTGCGGCTCGAGCAGACCAGAACGGCTGAACGAGGCGAAGCCTCCACAGGGTCCCACCTCCTTCTCGATGTCCACTTTGGTTTCGTGCTCGCCGACGTGGCCGCCGATGAGTGGATCTGTGACCGTCGGTTCCGCGCCTTCCGCCACGTGGTTGGCGCTGTGGTGGTGGCCCAGCAGCGAGCCGAGCGAGCCGGCGGAAATGTTGCGGGGGAAGGAGAACTCCTTCTCGTCCGAGGGGTGGCTGCAGGGAAGAAGCGCCGGCCCAGGTTTGGGCTGGCTGGCCTCTACCAGCCCCCTTGCAGCTGGCCACTCCCAGAGCTGCCGGGCTGGGGGGCCGCTTTGCCTAGGCGGCCCGGGAGGCCTGCTCAGCCCCCCTCAGCTCCCTGCTTGGCCGGGGAGCACGCCGCCCAGGCGTGGAGATGCCCCGGAGTCCGGGATGCCCAGCCTCCTGCACCCTCCCCTCCCCCGCCTCACCTGTGCTTGAGCAACAGTGCCCGGAGCACGTTGGCGCGGTCCTCCGCACGGATCTGGTCAGAAATGATCATCTGCTCCACCACCTGGTGTGCCACCCCCGGAAGCGTCTTCTGGTCCAGGTCCAGAAGAACCGCCCCTGCGCAGAGGGAGCAGAGGAGGGCGGGGTGGCGGGTGCCGCGGACGGAGGCTCGCTGTGGCAGCTTCAGGTGACTCTGCCCCGACCTCTCCTGCGGCTCCCCCCCGGCCCCCGGCCCCGCCACGCCGTCGGGCGGCACCTGCTCAGCCAGTGGCTCCTCTGCCCCCCTCAGGCCCCTGCCCCCGGCTGCTCCACGGAGCCAGGCGTGGGAGCCCCCAGCCACCTCCGACCGGCACGGCTGCGAAGCCAGAAGGAACCGCTCTGGACCCTCCCGCGAAGACCCAGAGGGGTCGTGGAGGGCTGCCGCGTGGCCGGGGCTCTTTCCCGCGGCAGGAGCCACACGAGGCCACCCGTGGTCTCTGCCCGCACCCCAGAGCTGCCGTAATGCCCCTGCTCATGGGCGCAAGGGTCCCCAGGCCGCCTGCGGGCCTGGGGGGGGGGAGGGCCCCGCCTTCTCACACCCACCATGGGACAGGGTCCGGCGCAGCTCCAGCAGGCTGCGGAAGGAAAGGGAGGCGACGTGGGGCTTGCCCCACCGATCCGTCTCCTCCTCCACGTCCTCCTCAAACTTGATCCAGCGGGCCGTCTCCCTCCACTGCATCTCCTGGTTCTTGTCCACGATCAGCTCGTTCAGCTCCACAAAGACCTGGGCCAGAGGGGGGCCGGTGACTCCGGGGCCTGAGGGGTGGCCACAGGGGGGCTGCCTCTGTGGGGACAGCCGGCCGGGCCTGGGACGGGCCAGGAGGGCACCGGTCCACCCAGCCCCTTCCCCACCCTGCCCTGCCTAAGCCAGGTGGCACAGCCCTGCCTGGCCATGGCGCCTCCTCGCACACAGAGGAGCAGCCCGCCTGGGTGGGAGGCGGGGCAGCCTGAGCGTCCCCTGCTTCTTCATTCAGACCAATGAGGGGCATGTGTGCCCCCTCCCTGCCCCACTGCAGCCTGTGCCAAGCATGGCCCCTCTCCCCTCCCCTGGGGGAGAAGGTGCAGCCTGTGGGGGGGCCCCTACAGAGACCACCCGCTGTCCAGGGGATCCAGACTAGATGGGGAGCCCTGCGTGGCACCCCCCGGAGAGTCCTCCCGGGGAGAGTCTGCCGGGGCTGCCGCAGCTGCTCCCGGCCCTCGCCGCCGCCGTCTCACCTCGTGGGGCTGCCGGTCCTGCTTGCGCTGCCGGGCACTGGGCTCCTTGCGGTCCTTGCCGATGTGCACCACCTGGCCCTTGGCGCTCTTCCGGACCAGGTGCCGGCGCACCCCTGGCACGTCCTCGAACCGGTGGCCTGCGCAGGAGCAGGAAGCAGCGGATGCGGGCAGGCGGCACGCACGCCGGGGGTGCTGTGGGCGCCAAGGCGGCCGCCCCAGGCACCCAGATCCCCCACATGCCGGCAGGCTTGCGAGCGGCCCGTCCCTCCCTCCCCCCGCAGCAGCACTGGGGTGGGGGCTCTGCCCGCTCGGGGGGACTGTCGGGGCCAGTCCCTGGCTGCACGAATGCTTCGGGCTGGGGCTGGGGCTGAGGAGTCCTTGCCCCGCCCGTTCCTCCACGGACACTCGGCCTCTTGCCAGCCATGGGAGACGGTCGGGCACAAGCGAGCAGCCCAGCCCAGCCCAGCCCGGCCCTGCAGCCACGGCCCTCGGCAGCACGCCCCGGCCTGGGCAGGTTGGCCACGCAGCCACTGCCCGCAGCACCGGAGCCCCGCTGCCTCTGCCCCACAACACTCGCGGCGCGTCCGGCGGCCAGGAGGCGGCAGGCCCTGCGACCGTGCGACCACGGAGAGCGGCCGCGGAGGCCAAGGGCACGGGCAGGCCCGCGGTCGCGGCACTGGCAAGGCGGCCCTGGGGGGCCACTGCTGCCCGTCCGGCTGCCTGGCACGCTCTCCAGGGGCCGGCAGGCTGAGAGGCCGCGCTGGGGCCGCCCCACGGTCGGCCGTCCCCCACGCTCTGCTGGCCTCCACCCGCACTTCCGGCCTCCGGCGCAGCAGGCCCTCTTCTGCACTGCCCTGGTCCACAGACCACGGCCTCCACAGCCCTGCCAGGCGCCCCCCGGGGCTGCTTTGGTGTGCGGGCTGCAGCCTGGCGCGCTGCTGACGTGAATTCTGCCTCACGGAGAAGAGTCTGCTCGGTGGCACGCCCCCCCTGCAAGGTGGGCTGCTGAGGTTTCTGCCTGAGCTGCGGGAGGAGGGGGCGCGGCCTCGTCCCAGGCACCTAGCAGGCCTCCCCGCCGCAGGGACCTGCCCCCGGGCCGCCCCAAGCCTTTCCCCACCCTGAACTCACTCTTCATGTAGTCCAGGTCTGCGGAGGCCAGCGTCTGCGCCTCCGACTCATCCGTGGGCACCTTCGGGTACCGGGCTTGCTCAATGCCCGTCATGCTGCCAATGCGCCGGCGCTCGTTCAGATTGTAGCTGCGGTGGGCAAGCTGGGATTTGGAGGGGGTGCGCCCGGGAGAGCCCCCCTCGGCTGCACTGGGCCCCTCCACGCCACCCGGCCCTTCGGCATCTGAGCTGTGAGGAAGATGCTTTGTCTCAGCAAACGTGGGCGCTAACCTGTCCCTGCGCCTGGTCCCCACCTCCCAAACCGCCCCCCACCTTCCGAGCTGACCATGTTTTAAAAGGTGGCCTTGGGGGGGCGGTCCTCTCTCACCTTCTGAGAGATCTAAAACCATGGCCGTGTCAGAACAAGCTACAGCCCTCCCCAAATGCCAGCCATTGGGCCTCCGGCTCCCCCACTCACCTGCCCAGCTTGGCACCCTTGGCAGCCGGGGGGGCCCGCAGAATCCGTGGGGGAGCCCAGGGGCCCTGCGGGGGGTGCTGGCCCCTCTGTCCGCCGCTCGAGCGCATCGTCCTCCTGCAGGAAGAACTGGGGCAAAGCAAGCGGGTGCTGAAGGCAGGCGCGTGGGAAGAGGCCCGCCCAGGCCACGGCCCGCTCTCCTCCCCCCGCCGGGGCCACGGGCATGCCAAGCCAGGCCCACCTGCACGCCCTCCGGAGAGCCGCCAGGCTGCAGCGGGTCCTCGGGCACCTGCTCCGTCTCCGTGTCGCAGGCGTCCTCCTCATCACCGTCCTCCTCCTCCCCGCCCTCAGCCTCTTCCTCGATGGTGGGGGTCTCCCCCGGCAGGGATGCCCGGCTGCGCTTTCTCTTGCCTTTCTTCGGGGGCCCCTTTTTCCGCCGGGTGTCAGAGGGCAGGTGGCTGGACAGCGGGTGGTGGATGTGGTGGGACGACTGGCGGTGGTCTGGGGGGAGCCAGGTGGGTGTCAGGAGGGTGTCTGGCCGCCCCCGCGCCTTCTCCAGTCCCCTCCACAGCCCACCAGGAGGAGGGGTGGCTCGCAGGCTTGGGCCACAGCGCCTCCCCCCCCCCCCCCCGGTGAGCAGGGGGGGACCCCCCGGGGGCCCCCCCCCCGGCGGGGGGGGGGGGGGGGGGGGGGGGGGGCACTCCCTGGTCCCAGGGGGAGACCCGGCCTCAGCCCGACTGGCAGTGCCGGAAGGCCAGTTGGGGGGCCATGTGGATCCCCCCGCCCGCCCGCCGGAGTGCCCAGCTGCCCCCCTCGGCCTCAGCCCGGCCCGCGCCCCACTGCACGCGCGGGGCCGCCTCCCCCCCCCCACCTACACTCAAAGTCCTCCTCGCCGTAGCTCCGGCCGGGCTCCTCCACGTTGCGCGGGTGCGAGTCCTGCAGGATCTCCTCGAAGCGCTCCACACGCAGCGCCTTGGTCAGGTCGCGCTCCTCCTCCTCCTGCCCCGGGCCCCCGAACGCGGGCGAGGGGGGGCTGAGCCCATCCTGCTCCGGCTGCGGGGGAGCAGAGGGGGCGGTGGGGGCCAGCCCTGCGCCGCGCACGCCCCCCATGCGCGGCCCCCCGCTCCCGCCCGCCGGACGCGCGGGGCCGCCTCTGCCCCGGGACTCGCATCTCTGGGAAGCGCCCGGGGCCCTGCGGGGGCGGGTCGGTCCCTGGGGAGCCGGGGGGGGGGGGTCCCCGCCGCGGCCCCCAACCCCGGCCCCCAAAGGGGGGGGAGCCCGGGGGGGGGGGGGCGCCGGAGCTCTCGCAGGGCCGCTTCTGGGTAGGACCGACCCGAGCTAGCGGGGGGGGGGTGAGACGTCATCGCCCCCCACGTGCCCGGCTGCTTGCGGAACCGGCCTGGCCGCGAGCCCGCAGCCAGCAGGGGAGCTCGCGGTGCGGGAGGGGCGCCCCGAAGGGCAGGGGCGCCGAGGGCGGGCGCCCCCCTACCTGCGCCATGCCGGGGGTCCGAGCCGCCGCCGCCGCCGCCCGCGCCTCCTGCGCACCGCTCGCTCGCTCGCCACCTCGGGCGCTGCTGCGGCGGCGGCTCTGCGGGCCGCGCGATTTATCCTGCTCCGTCCGGAGCCGGGAAGGTCACGGCGGCCGCGGGGGGGGGGGCGCGGGGCGGCGGCAGGCGGCTCCATCCCCTGCGCGCCACTCCAAATATTGACGGACGAGGCTCCCTCGCGCTGGCCGACACCGCGCAGATTAGCGGCGCGGCCCCTCCCAAGGTGACAGCGCCGCCTGGGGGGGGCGCGGGGGCGCCTCTCCACCCCCGCCGCGGAGGACGCGCGCTCCCTCAAGGGCACGGGCGCCCCGGGGCCCAGGGCGGGCTGGGACGCGCAGGGGACGCGGCGATAGCTGCCTTCCCGGCCCCTCCACTGCCCCCCCCGCCCCGCCCCGTTCTGGGCATCGTGTCCTCTTCCAGCAGGAAGCCCGGAAAGATGCAAGCTGGGGATCCCCCCCTGCCCCAAAACCCCCCCCCCCCCCGCCAAGGCACGTGCAACAGACCTTCCTCCAGTGTAATCTGGGGGGGGGGTGATTTCAGACATGCCAAGAGGGGGGGCAGCTCTGGCACTTCAGCAGGACAGCTGCGGTTGCTCCGGCAGTGCCCCCTCCTCCCCCATTCCTCGGGGTTGCTACTGCCAATTTCAAAACCCCGCATATTAAGCGGCCCTGCAGCAAGCCTCCTGCCTTTCCAGCCAAGAGGAGAGGTCCCTGCCCCACGGAGGGAGCTCAGCTCGTGCTCTGAAGGAAGAGCCAGGGAAAACAAGAGGCAGGAGGCGGGGAGGGGGGCACCCCCAAGGGCAGTGGGAGGCCGCGGCTTCGGTTTCTCCTGAGCTGTGGCCCAGCTCTCTGCAAAACCAGCACTCCAGCGAGCAGTGATAACACGAAGGTGAAAAACGAGACCTACAATCAGAGCGGACACAGCAGGTGCTCCACGAGCGCAGCGGGGACAGCGAGCAGCCCAGAGCACAGCCCCGCGGAACCGCTGGTGGCCCCGGTCTCGCAACAGGGAGAGTGCCTTGGCAGCCAGCGCCATGGAGGAGGCCCCCAGCCCCCAAGGCAGGCGGGCTCACACAGGCATGGGCCCCTTTGAGCTGCACCCAGGAACCGGGGGGGGGGGCTGCCCCAACAAGGGCACTGTGGCCCCTGTGCATGGCCGGGCGGCCGGCCTGGGGCAGCCACAGTGCCTGGGGGCTCGAAGATGCTCCCGCTTGGCTGAACTGCACGCTGGGCAGTGGGGGCAGCACGGGAGCCAGTGGCTCCACCAGGGGAGGGGGCACCGCCCCTTCCCAGAGGGCCCCATCCCAGGAAGGGTGTCTGGACCCAGGCAAATGTCCCCCGTGCCCCCCTGCGTGGCTCCCAGCCCCAGCACTGCAGCCCAGCTGCCCTGGCAAGGGAGCGGGCAGGTTTGGGGAGACCGCCCTGGCCAGCACCTCCCCCACGCTCGGGAGCCACCCCCACGGCCCCGAGTGGCTGTCTGCCCGCCATCCTGCCCAGGTGCGGAAGGCCCCGGCGCGGGAGGGAGCCAAGCAGCTTCAGGCAGTGCAGTGCCAACAGGGCTGGCGTTACCTGCAGGCCGAGCAGGAAGTCCATGCTCACAGAGAGGCGGGCGGCCCCGGGCAGAACGTGCGCGGGGTGGGATGCAGGCCTTCCCGGCTGCTGCCTCTTCCTGGGTCACTCAGCAGCCATCGCAGCCAGCGAGCGTCACCTCGGCAGTGACGGGCCAGCAGATTGCAGGGGTGTCACGCAAAGGGTTAATCATTAACTTTGCCGTTGGGAAGAGGCAGCTGGAAAGGGCTGCTCAGCAGCCAGGGGCAGGCCGGGCGGGCGGGCGCCTCACACAGGAGCACCGTCCCTCCTGCGGACCCTCCCCGAGGCGGCGGGGGCACCCCTGCAGCAGCCAGCCCCAGTGGCCATAAACCCCTCATCCTGCTGGGCCAGGCTGGGCCGGAGGGACGGGGGCACAGGCCCGACAGCTGTGGCGCATGGGCAGCGTGCGGAGGGAGACGCTCGCCCAAGCACAGCTGCAGCCCACCCGGAAGCACACTGGGCTGCCCTGCCCCAGCTCATCGGCCCCAGGGTCCCACCTCGTGCTCCCCGCCTCTCCACAGCAGCTTTCCCCAGCAGGCCATGAAGCCCCCTGCTTCCTGGACTCGCTCCAGCTGAGGGTGGGAAGGGAGATGAGGGGGCCCCGCGGGAGTTGGCAGGAGAGACACGGGCCCGCCAGCTAGCACATGCCCCCCAGGCCGCCGGGGCAGCCAGCTGCCCGCTGGGGGCCTGTGTCCCATCCCATGGGATGGGGAGGCCGGTGCCCGGGCTGCTTAAGCGGGAGGAGAGGCGGGGGCTGACACAAGCGAAGCGGAGAATTGCAGAGAATTGCTTCCTTGCCGCCCGAGGAGCCCCCCAGCCTCCTCCTCTCTCCCCTCCTGGGCAGCCACTCCATTCCCAGGTCTCTTGCGGCCTGAGCCAATGCACCGGTGCGACCCCACCGTGCCAGGCAGGGGGTGCCTGAGTGGACTGGGGGCTTCCGGCAGCCTGGTGCCCTCACAGCAGAAGCCCCTGACGGATCGAACCTGGAGCCTCCGAGAGGAAGGGCCAGCGCCTGCCTGTGCAGAACTGGGGAGGCCGCCCCAGTTCTGGGGGCAGAGCTGGCACCTGGGCGTCGGGCACCAAGGGCCCCACTATGTCTAGCCACCCAACGCCCCCGCCCCCTCACCCGTTCTTGCCACGCTGCGGCCTTCTGCATGGGACAGAAAGGTGCAGCGCCGTGGCTCAGCCACTCACCCCCTCAAAGGCTGTGGAGATGATGCGGCGGAGCTCCGAGGGGCCCCGCGAGTGGCTCATGGCTGGCGGCGGGAGCGGTGGCGGCGCGGCCTACCCCTTCTCCTTCTCGCTGGGGCTCAGAGGGCAAGGTGATGGCACCATAACCTGCAGAAAGGCACAGAGCGCAGGGGCGTCAGCAGGCTCCCAGGTGGTTCTTTGGTGTGTCCTTCAAGGAACGCTTTCCTGTTTCCATGTCGCAGCTGAGCAGGCACAGAGGAACGCCGTGCACGGGACAGAAGCAGCACACGGTGCGTCCCGCCTCGTGCACGACGGGAAAGCAGCAGGATCTCTGCAAGGGCGGCAGCACTTCCTTGGGGGAATCTGCACTTCTGTTGCAAAAGTGGATTCCAAAGCAGCATGAATAACATTTCCACTTGTCAATGCAATATTAGAACAAGGCAATTCCACATTAAAATTAAACGTTCAAAATGAAAGACTAAATAAGAATACAGCCAATTTAAAATGCTTGAGCAAATTAAATACGTTGTCCTTGTGCCAAAACAAAACAAAACAAAACAAAACAAAACAAAACAAAACAAAACAGAGGCAGAACAGCAGCACTAGTCATACCTCCCTGGAGGCAGAATTCCGGTGCTGGGGGGCTGCCCTAGAAGAGCCCCCCCTGCTGCTGATGGAGATGGGTGTCCTTGGAAGCTGTTGAGCTACACACAGGTGGATACAGGAGAGCGGCTTCTTCAGGTATTTAGAAGCCAAGCTGCATACCTGCCCCTTCAGGGGAGCGCAAGCCCTCGGCGAGGGGCTGAATGCGGCTTTCCCCGGCCAGAAGCACCTGCCATAGGAGCAGACGGGCAGAAGAAAGGTGCTGCTGGACCAGCCCCAGCGCCCACCCAGTCCCGCACGCAGGACACACAGGCAGACCGGCTGCCCCCGGACCCCCAAGCGGGAGGGGTGCAAGGCTGCTGCCTGCCTGGCTCCCCAGCAGCTGGCACAGCGCCTCCGGCGAGGGAGAGCGCACGCATGGGCAAGGCTGGTCCCGGAGGGCCGCCTCCCCACGGATCCACCCAGCCCCCTTGCAGGGCCGTGCGCATTGGCGCCGGCGCCGCGTCCTGTGGCAGCAAATCCCAGTTTAAATGTGCACCGTGTGAAAGAGTAAAGGCAGCAAAACTTCCTTCTATCAGTCCTAAACCAGCCACCCACCGGCTTCATGGGACAACCCCGGGTTCAAGTGTTATGAGAGAGGGACAGGACTGTCTCTGCTTTCTCCACACCGCTCTGCCCCGTCTCCCCTCACCTGCCTTTTTTCTGGTCAAGGGAAACGGGTGGTTGGTGGGACCTAAATGCCCTCGTTGCTAAAAGGGGGTGCATTAGCAGAAGCAGCACTTCCCAGACAGGTGAAGCGCCAGCTCCCCTCCACGCAGCACCGGTCAGGCCTCGCCTGGCACTCTCTGTCCCGGTCTGGGCAGCTGAGAAGACGCGGAAAGTCTAGAGG